CAGAGTCTCATCGTGTGACCATGGGCTTGACTTTCCCGCCATTTTCCTATCAGCTCCAATCCGAGGGAACAGCGGCAGCCATGAAAAGGCAGGGTGGAGCCAGTAGACAAGAGTCTGCTGGAAGGCACAACGCAACTCAGTGCAGAGTCTGGGATCCTAAATTCCAGGGGGGAGAGTGGGGATTTTTACTCACCAGAAAAAGTTCATTGGAGACACTGATATCACTGACATATAATCTAGTATTTTAGAAGATGATTTGGGAGCAGCGGCAGAATACCTTTAATTCCAGTACTTGGGAGGAAGGCAGATCTCTGTGAAGCCAGCCTGGTCTATATAGTGAGCCCCAGGAAAGTCAGGGCTATGTAGAGAGAGCTTGTCTCAAACACTCCCTCCCCACAAAAAATTTTTTATTTTTGTTTTTCCAGACAGGGTTTCTCTGTGTAACAGCCCTGGCTGTTCTGGAACTCACTCTGTAGACCAGGCTGGCCTCGAACTCAGAGATCCACCTGGGTCCCGAATGCTGGGATTAAAGGCTTGTGCCACCACTGCCCGACAAGATTTTTATTTTTAATTGTATGTGTGCCTGCATTTTGAAGATGGGTTCTCTGGAAGAGCAGTAGGTTCCCTTAACCACTGAGCCATCTTTCTAGTTCACAGTCTTAAGTATTTTTAATGCTTTTCATAAGGAAATATTAGCAACCGTCACAGAGGTTAAAATGCAGTCGACCTTTGCTTTCTGGACAGCAGACAGTGCGCTGAACTCAGAATTCATCAGAAAGAGCACACATATACAGAGATGGGACATTCTGTCTCTGCCTTTCCTGAGGCATTCAGATGACAGGAGGAGGGATGTGCATTAGGGAGTACTCATGCTCTTCCCATAGGAGAGCACCAAATTAACTGCCAGGGAAGAGGATCCTCCCCCTAGGAAAACAGTCTCAAAAGTAGTAAACCTGGGTAAGTGTGAACTACAAGTCATCTTGAGTTATTGAGAAATATGTCTCAAGCTCTATTTCAGGTAAACCTTTACAACCTAGTTTGTGTTGATGAGCTGCTTCACGGTATTAAATTACTCTGAGATCATCCCAGAACTCATGAATTCTTCAATGTATTAAGAACCAGAGGACGGCTGGGTGTAGTGACACACACTTTAATCCCAGCACTCGGGAGGCAGAGGCAGGCTGATGTCTGTGAGTTTGAGGTCAGTCTGATCTACAGAGTGAGTTCCAAGAAAGCCAGAGCTACAAAGTGAGACCTTGTCTGGAGGAAAAACAACATCATCAACAACACCCCCTCCACCCCCCCACCCCCTGCCAAAAAAACCCCAGAGTATGTCCTAGGTAAGAAAACTTAGTAAAAAGTCATCAGCTATTGTAACTCAATAGCTTTTGATGTTTTCTCAAAAGCCTTACAAAAGGATGGTTTGGATAAAACACTGCCTGTCTGTACCCCTGATGGACCCTTTGGAGAGATGACTGTCAGCTTTTGCAGTCTATACCTGTCAGAAGACCAGCTTAACAGAAAGTAGTGTGTGGATGTAAGGGCAGATCCTTCTACACTCAGTCTGAAACACTAACAGACTAATGCGCTGGGGTGAGGCTCAGCGGTTAAAAGAACCTAAGTTTGGATTTCCTGTGAATACCTGTAACCCTAGCACTGAGGAGGTAGAGACAGGAGGAGCACTGGGGCTTGCTGCCCAGCAGGCTAGCTAAAAAATGTGAGCTCCAAGCTCACAGAAGTCCTGTTCCAAAGAGAGGAGATAGGACTATTGCCTTTGGCCTCTGTCCATATACCTGCCTGAATGACTGCGCACATGCACGCACACGCGCACATGCACGCACACACACACACACATACACACGCACACGCGCGCACACACACACATACATACATTCCATTTTGGGCATTCATTACCTGTATACTCTGGGGTAAAGTAACTTCTGCTGCCCTACAATGCTGGATAAGACCTTGGGCTTCTTCCTGTGCTTTCAAATGATCTGCCCAGGAAAAGGGTTGAGAAGAGGTGAAAAGGAGTCGGGTTTTAATACTCCAGTCCGCAGGTAACTCAGTACCTTCTGAAGAAGTCGTATCTGATTCAGAGAATGATACATGCTGACTCTTAGAAAACAAAGAACACAAAAATTAGAACTTCCAGAAAATTCTTTTACTACAAAGATCCTAGTTACTCACTAAATGTCAAAACTCACAAATGGCCTAACACTAAAAATATATTCCACCTGAGAAGTCTGAAGGAGGTAAACCAAGCCACCACGAGAGGTCTCAGGCCACTGAGCCTCGGTGTCTGCCTGGAAGGAGAGAACCCAGTGAGTGTACTAGCTAACTGAAGAGTTCAGCGGGGCGCTGCTGCAGGGTCCCAGTTCACTTGCTAGTTTTTACAGTTCTATCTAGTACTACAGACCACAAAGGAGAAATGCTCCCAGTATTTAAAAAGTATCTTGCCGGGCGGTGGTGGCGCACGCCTTTAATCCCAGCACTCGGGAGGCAGAGGCAGGCGGATCTCTGTGAGTTCGAGGCCAGCCTGGGCTACCGAGTGAGTCCCAGGAAAGGCGCAAAGCTGCACAGAGAAACCCTGTCTCGAAAAACCAAAAAAAAAAAAAAGTATCTTGTAAGCCCCTGAATCACTGCGACCACGATCAAGCTCCTCCTTTAGGTTAAGCAACATTGGTAGGTTTTCCTGAAGTTAAAAAAAAAACAAAAAAAAAAAACAAAGGAAGAAAGGAAACTCTAGTAGTTTAAAAAAAAAAAGGGAAACTATAGTCAAGCTGCTGTCCAAGTCCATATTCTCCACATCGTAAGGATTCCCTCAAGGAACATCGTAGTAAAGTATCTTGCCAGGGGGACTGCCTGCGGAAGACTGTGTGTGAAAGCCAGAACGGCTCTTGTGACTCTTCTAGCCTGTCCCCACTGGGGCAAACTCTATCTGTCACAACTGTGGAGCCCCAGTGTGCTCCACATGCAGGAAGGAAGCATCGGCAGGCTTTGGCCCCACAGCCCACACCTATTCTCACAACACTTGTATGGAAATGATTCCCCACAGTTCTGCTTTCGTTTTGGAGACAGGGTCTCATGTGTTCCAGATCTCAAATATCTGTGTACTGAGCATGATCTCAAACTTCTGACAAGCCTTCCTTCTCACCCTTTTACGTGTGACGCTGGGATGCAACCCAGAGGTCCCTGCATACTAGGCAAGCATTTTACAAATCGAGGTAGGCCCGGACTTCCACTTTGTTATTGAAACTAATTTTTCAAGCAAAATGCTACTGAGAAGTGCGTTTCTTAGAAAATACATTCTAATCCTACTTAAGAAGTATTACCTGGGCTAGGCCATCAAGATGGCTCAGCAGTTAGAGGCGCATGCCTCTGAGCTTGACTGACTGACTACCTGAGTTCAACCCTGGTACCCACACGGTGGAGGGGCTGGCTGGCCTCCACATACACAACTGTGGCACACACAATAATGTAGCTGGGAAAAGTACCTGGGACAGTTCGGTGACAGTTCTTTCATGAGACGCTTCCTTCCACAGCAAATTATTTTCTCCATTAGAATCTAAAAGCTGAGGTTAAAAAAAACGTCCTTTTAAAACTTAAGCGGTGAGGGAACTTGCTTTAAATACGTCGGGCCTCACCTGGCACACCAGTCTCTCAGGAGAGTGGGGGCTCAAATCCATAGACTACCAACGTTTGTTTCACTTCAGTGTGCTGGACTAATCAAAAGGGGAGGAAAGGCCAGACCAACACATTTAATAACTGATAAATCCTAAGTCTTAGACCAAAGGGGATCAGCACTTGTCAGTTCTGACCCTTCATCCTCAACAGTCCTCCACGTCCAGTCATCTCCAGTGCCCGACTGAACGGAAGGATGGTGAGAAGGCAGATTCTGCCGCCGGCCCATGCGAGCCGCCGTGCAGGATGGGGTGTTCCGAGGACTTCTCCAGCCACCTTCCCGTGTGGCTTCGAGGGCCCCCGCCCCCACCTCAGGACACCGGGCTGCGGCGGCTGTTCGCGCCCATTCCCACCGCTGAGCCCCGGCTGCCCCGCGCGGAGACTCACCGAGGCCGGAGCTCCCTGCGGACCACGGGACGGCTCCTCGCGGGCCTCGTCGGCGACCCGCGGCCGGTTGTCCAGGCGGGCGAAAGGGTTTCTGCGGGGGACGGCCGCGGCGGCGCCGCCTCTGCCGCCCGCGGTCGGGAAGGGGCGCAGGGGCAGCCCGGCCGCCAGCGCGGCGCGGCGGGGCGTGGGCTCCGGCAGCGCGGCGGGCACGGCGGCGCCGCGGCTCTGAGACCTTTTCCGGCGGAGCCGCACGACCTCGGGCGGCCTCTTGAAGCTGGGCGAGTAGCCGGGCAGCGGGACGGCCATTGCGCAGCGCCGAGGCGGCCCCGCAGCCCGGCCTGCGCTTCCCGCGCGCTCCGGCCCCGCCCCGGCCCCGCGCTGCTCGCGGACTGGAGGCCCGAGGCCCCGCCCCGCCGCGGCCCCGCCCCGCCAGAGCATGCGCGCTTGGCCGCCCCCCGCCCCTCCCAACAGATTGCTCGGTAGCCGCTTCCGGCCGGCGCGTGCAGCCCCGGGGCGCTCCTTCAGCGGTTCTGCTGCGAGGCGGGGCGTCGCCGAGAAAACGTCACCAGCGCGCATCCCCGAAGGGCACGGAAACGAATCAACACTGCTTTAGTCTGCAGTGAGGACAGGGTCAGCCCCGGGTACGGAGCCTGAGTGCAAAGCAAACAGCACACTTGGTGGTGGGCAGCTACTTCCTCAGAGAAGCAGCAAGGTCATTCTGAGAGAGGTGGTGATGGGCAGGCCTTGCTGCACTCCACTGCTCAACAGAGCACCCACAGAACAATGCTCAAGCTTCAAGCTAGGCTCGGGTCAACTCTTCCATCCTTGTCTCCAGTGCCCGGCCACCCGGCCCTCTATGCAAATGCTCTGCCACTATTACAGGACCTGGTACTATGATTCTGTAGGATACTGGAGAAATTCAGAGTGAATGAATGTTTTTAAAAAATTTTAAAGGCCAATGGATTACTTTGAAATCGGAAAATACACTCAAATGCTAAAATAATGACAGCAAAGGCTTGTTAAGGAAGGTGTTGAGAATGGAGTTGATGCAAAATCAAATAACATTTTCATGGTATAGCAAAAGCTTGTGACGGATGTATTGATAGAATAGTGTGGCTTTTGCTGAAAGCAGTTTTCTTTATGGAAAGAATTTTATAGCAGAGGCAAATGTATAGATACAATAACAAAAAAAGGTTTTTGGAATATCCCCTTCAGATATTAAAAAAAATCTGGATTTTTTTGCACAATAATTTTGCAAGTATTTTTCAAATATGTCAAATAACCAAGCATCTTATTATGGCAGGAAAACAGGCTTAAAAATAGAAAAACTTGTTTGATCTTCCTTGATTTTTCTCAACAATTTCCAAAGAAAACTGGCTTCATATACTGGTATGGGTACATCCAACTGAGGTCTGGGAAAGAAAATTAAAATTGAACAACTTGCTTTTTTCTTTCTTGATTTTTCTGAACAATTTCCATGGAAGCTTTTGCCTCATACAGCGGAATGGGCTCATCAAGTAGCGGTCTGAGGAGGAAGAAGGATTAGAAATGTCAGGCACAGGCGCAGATACAGCAGGTCATACATTTGGTTACAGTTTGACTGTATTCATCTAAATAATCCATCTAAACAGTCCATCACTGGAGAGGCAAAGGCAGGTGAATCTGTGAGTTCCAGATCAGCCTGAGCTATTCACCTATCAAAATAAATAAATAAATGAAAATTAAAATCCAAACAAAATTACAAACTCACCCATTAATATTTTTATGGTTTTAAAGAAGTAATTTTCTTTCTTTCTTTCTTTGTGTGTGTGTGTGTGTGTGTGTGTGTGTGTGTGTATGTGTATGTGTTTCCAGACCCGAAACTCATTCTATAGACCAGGCTGGCCATCGAACTCACAGAGATCTGCCTGCTTCTGCCTCTCAAGTGCTGGCATTAAAGGCATGCGCCACCATGCCTGGCTCTTTTTTTTTTTTCTTTAAAGACAGGGTTGGTCTTTGATAGCACAGTATGGCCTAGAACTCATGATCCCTGCCTTAGCCCTCCAGGGCTGTGAATACAGGTATGTTCCACAACATTGGGCTAAAAGTGTTTAAGTTTTGAAAGAAAAATATACTACTCTATCTCTTTACTTTATAAGTGATACCAAAACCCAATTTAAACAAACATGGTACTTTTTTCCTCTTGTCAAGCTATGAATTATTTCAAATTCTCTGGCAAGAGAGATGAAGGAAAGGGAAAGGTGAGATACAGAAAAAGTTGAGAGAAAAGGCACAAGATAAAAATCTGTGGGAGGGTGGGAGAGATGGCTCAGCAGTTAAGAGCACTGGCTGTTCTTCCAGAGGACCTGGGTTCAATTCCCAGCATCCACACAGCAGCTCACAACTGTCTGTAACTCCAGTCCCAGTGGATCTGACACCCTCACACCAGTGCACATGAAATAAAATAAAATAAAAAATCTGTGGGTATACTCATTGGTGTACAACCAGGTACATTTTGAGATATGTATTTGAAAGAACAGCTATTTATCTAAAGTGAATAAAAAGTAGAGGTACTAAGTATACTATAAAACTGGAATAAAAGCTGGGCAGTGGTGGCACGCCTTTAATCCCAGCACTCGGGAGGCAGAGCCAGGCGGATCTCTGTGAGTTCGAGGCCAGCCTGGTCTCCAAAGTGAGTTCCAGGAAAAGGCACAAAGCAACACAGAGAAACCCTGTCTCGAAAAACCAAAAAAAAAAAAAAAAAAAAAAAAGGGGGGGGGTTGGGGATTTAGCTCAGTGGTAGAGCGCTTGCCTAGCAAGCGCAGGGCCCTGGGTTCGGTCCTCAGCGCTGGGAAAAAACAAAACAAAAACAAAAACAAAAAAACGAATAAAAACACGCCCACTTTTCCTTGATAATAGAAAAATAATGATTTAGGTTTTGTTTTTTTGGCGTCTTTTTTTTTTGGTATACCTGAAAATACCAGCCGATAACTTCTCCATCACGTCTCTTAAGATGCGTAGCTGCAAGGGTTGTTAAGGTGGTAACTTAATAAAAAGAGGACTAAATAAGCCATTCAGTAAATACAAGACGCTGGCCTGGTCACTGCTATTTTTCTTTTGAAAAAAGTATTGTACTTTCAAATTCAAAGTGGTATTCCAGCAACTAGAACCTGTCAATCACTTCTAAAACAGAGGAATGGATGGTTGAGAGCTAAGGTCTGACAGGAGCAGAACCTTCTAAAGACAAGTGTTGATAGCACAGACTGGCATGTAAGCAGTGACCGAGATTATCCCCAAGCAACAGTTCATGGAGTCATGTATGGTTTTCACTTAGGCATTATGCATGGCATTCAGCACTTACACCTTTTACAGGGAGTAAGCTTTTATCAATTAATTTGGTTGATACCAGGTTCAATTTGTTTGCATAAATTCATTTACTTCAAAAAATATGGGAAAAAGCTAAGTAATACATATGTACTTATGTATTAAGTACATACCTATCATATGATAGTTTGAATGAAAAAATGTCCCCCAGTGGCTCATGTACTTGAAGACTTGGTCCCCAGATGGTTGTGTTCTCGAAGTACTTCACAGGAAGTGGGCTTTGATGGATTATGGCCTCATCCCTGCTTCCTGCCCTCTCTCGGCTTCCCATGTGTAAATAAAACTGTGTTAACCCAGGTTCCTGCCCCTGTTGCCAAGCCATGCCTCCCAGCTCTTATGGACTCTATCCCTCTGGACCCCTAAGCAATCAAAATTATATCCATATGGAGAAAAAAATAAAAAGAAACATGAAGGTCTGGAGAGATGGCTTATAGGTAAGATCACTTGCTATATTTACAGAGGACCCAGGTTCAGTTCCCAGCACTCTCGTGGCAACTCACAAGTGTCTGTAACTTGAGTTTCAGGGGACCTGACCCCCTGGTCTCCTTGGGCACCATGTGCACAGACATCATGCAGGCATAGACCCAAATACAGACATACACACATTAGGGAAAAAAAAAATCTAAAAAATGAATTTCCCAGTATTGGTACTTGTAAAATTCAACTGTAAACATTTTGGAATATTTTGTACAGTGGTACCATCTTAGGAGTTAAGCATGCTACCTCTTAAAGTACCATGCAATACCAGGTTTAAAACAAAAGAAAATATTCCACCTGTCTTATTACCTCCTGTTCAGAAGGAATTAGACCCCAGGGTGTGATTCTATCTCTTGCTACCTGTACCCTCCTGACAATCTTTTCACCTGTGAAATGGAGAGACTTTAGTTATGTCCCATAGATTTACTGCTTGAATGAATGTAAGATACCTGTCCCTCTGCCAGACATGCTCAAGGAAAGCTCACAGCTAATTGTAACTTCTTATGGTTACACTGAATGAGTTTATGAGTAGAGTGCGAGGCAAATTCCAAGCTAGCAATTCAAATCAGTAGAAAAAAGGATATAAAGATATTTTCCCTGTTGTGCATTTGACAAATTCCAGACTTCATCATTAAGGAAAGCCACCGTTGCTCCCTTGAGGAAAAGGCAGTGGCTATCTGGAGGGTCCAACTTTGATAGAAGAAACAGAGACAAAACAACTACTATTAAGTTCAACAGCATGAAGGTGCTTGAAGCAGAAAACCTTTAATGCAAAGCAAACATTGTAGAAACCACCAAACTCAGCTACACGCTTTAACAGCTGTTTACTAACTGTTATGTTTTCCTTCCTATGTCACGACGAAATAGCTAGGACAAGGCAGATGCCGGGCCAGTGTGGACTCTCGGGGAGAAAATGGTAGAGTTATGTATATGACAGGTTTCTATAGGTGGCTTCTGGCTACTGTCGGTCACCTTTGTATGTTGGGAAGTCTAGACTGGTATATTAGATTGTAGTATTTGTAATTAGCTATGATATAAATATTCAATTAAGAACTCTGTTAAAAAAATAGAAGCTTGGGAGGTAATTAACCTATACACATATATAGTAATATCAATTTTAGTTATTAAATTATGATAATATTATTTATAAATATTACAATTGCTAAGTTACTAGAAAGCAAATTTTTAGGGTCTGAGAGATGGCTGAAATTACACAACACCAGTACCCATGCAAAAGGCCGGGTGCAGCGTGCACATCTGTAATCCCATTGCTGGAGACACAGTGGGAGGAGATCTGGGCCTGATGCCAGCCAGTCTAGCCAAACTAGCAAACTCCAGGCTCAATGAGAGACCTCTCAAAAGATAAGGTGGAGAATGAGAGCGGTACAAACCAGATGTTTATCTCTGGCTTCCCTTGCACATACATATGCACACACAGATAAAACTGTAATTTGAAATACAATTTAAAAATCCAGAGGCCACTGTGTACAATGAACTAAATACAATTATAATTCATTCTAACTGCATGGACTTCCCTGCCCGATAGAATAGAATGAACAGATAGAATAGATTAGAATGGCCAGTCTGTAGCTAACATAGAAAAGAGACTACATTCCTTTAAACATAGGTGTAATTAGAACTCATACTGTTCTTTGCTAATGACTGCATTTGGTTAATAGCAAGGCTTCATTATTTCTGATAATACCTGAAGGTTTTCTTCTGTTGTTACCCAATGGCCTCCAACACCAAGAAGTGTGATGATGTCATGCTTATGTGGTAGTTGTAATTTTACAGCTGGTTCATCATCTTTACTATATAATCTCACTTACAAATGAATAGTTAAGAAAGAGAGAAAAGGTATATTTTATAAAAATCTGACAAAATTTATTTTGCATATCAGTCTTTTTTATACAGCAAGAAATAATTTTCTTAATAAAAGGCAAACTTAGTTAACTTTAAGCTACACCAAAATGTACTCTAGACTTAATTAAAACTAAATGCAAACAAAATAAATTTTGATTTGGAAGCAAGCAAGGTAATGTACTACAACCTTATATGTCATGCTAATTCTAACAACCGTAGCTTAATACTGTGGACGAACTACTCTCTTTAAAATACTGAGTCACACGCACTGAAACACACATTTGGAAAGTGACCACACTAAAGTACACTGTTCACTTCCACTGACGATTTTTATGAGTCAATTTCAGATCCTAGAAAACAGATTAGAAAGGAACACACACGATGGCTATAGTTGTTCTCACAATAAAATACAAATAGAATTGTTGTGCAACTCACAACACTAATCCTTCAGGAGTGGTGGTGCCACCTGAAAGTGCACAGGTTAGGTGTGAAATAGACCCAAGTTAAATTGAAAAGGTTCACGAAAGTGAATGGTACAAACTTGTTTTTCCCATCCAGCAGAGGGCAGCCACACAGTACAAGTGGCTGTGACATGCTGGGCAGGTGTGTATTCCTGGGGACCAACGGAGTACACTGGTCATGGTGACAGGCTTCTTACAGATACTCATCTTTTGCTGTTGAAGCTTCAGTGCCTAAGGCTTAAAAGGCATGCTCCCTCTTCCAGAGGACAAGGTTGATGATGGGAATCAAGTGAAGGAGTTACACTTTAAATAGATGAGTTCTTAATTAAAAACAAACTCTTAAATGAGACATCCGATTCTATGAATGCAGTAATAATTAGTTCCCAGTTATACTCTTTCTGCAATTTATGCAATGAAAAAGATCACACAGGCTGCTCACGGCATAGGTACCCACCTCCTGCATCTATGACAATATCTACTCCCAGGCCACCTGTTTCCTCCAAACAGCTTTCAGCAACATGGACTTTCCCATTAGACACATCAATCACGCGGGCTGTCAAGGACAGGAATCAGGAGGAAGGGGAAAGAAAAGCCAGTGTCTATTTTCTGAAATAGTATCAACAGTTATTAAATTTAAAGGAAAATGTCAATTCTGCTTAATTTCTTTCTCAAGGAATTCAGTATTGATTGATAAGGATCAATGTCAAGGAGAGGCTGGCATATTCAGTAAAATGAACATGAGTACATTTTTTTTTTTTTTTTTTTTTTTGGTTTTTCGAGACAGGGTTTCTCTGTGTAGCTTTGCGCCTTTCCTGGAACTCGCTTGGTAGCCCAGGCTGGCCTCGAACTCACAGAGATCCGCCTGGCTCTGCCTCCCGAGTGCTGGGATTAAAGGCGTGCGCCACCACCGCCCGGCAAACATGAGTACATTTTGACCCAAGGCTGTTCTGCTGACAGGGAACATGAACACAGGCTAGACGGCCAGACCTGGGAACCTGAGCACAGAGGCCCAGACCCAGCACACACATCAGGGCACCAGTGAGAGCAGACAGTTTCTTAAGCTTCTTGAGATTCCCTAGTATCCAGAGCTGCGTCATTGTACACTATGGTAGTCATCTTTCAGAAGTCATTTAATCCATCCTTAATCATGGAAACCCGCCCTCCCCCATTCTCCTCTAGCTCCCCAAAATGGAGAACAGTCCTGAAAGTAAGGAAAAGGAATATGACGGTTTGGGGAGAGTTAGGGAGACCACGCTACTTTAATTGGTTGCATTAACTAAATATACAGACACACACATACTTTTTGTGTGTGTGGTGCTGGGTGAGGGGTGTGGGCAAACCCTGACCTTATGTATGACAAGAAATCAGTTTACTACTGAGTGATGTCCTTAACTCTTAAAACAATTACAGCAATAGAAAAATGAGTTATGTTAATAGTACAACAGAGCCATACAGAGAATTGAAAAAAGTTTCTTAGAATCTGAAACAATGAGGATATAATTATATTTCGTTTTGGTTTTTAACATCTTGTTGAGGAAAATGTCTTTTGGAGCTGTTCAGGCGAGAGGCTTAGTCTAGCAGCAGTCTGTGACTTTTGGCGGTGAGATGGGGCAAAAATGGAGAGAGGGCTAGGAGGACAGGCTGGGAGTGTGGAGGCAGGGCTGGGTGAGCTCACGCGCTAAGAGCCCCCCTGCTCTTGGTTCCCAGCGCCCGCGGCAGACAGCCCAACAGCTGCCAAGCCCGGCTGTGGGCGACCTGGTGCCCTGCCGTGGACTCGGCAGCACGGCACACACGTGGCATACATACACACAAATAAAAGTAAATCCTAAAACAAAACACCTTCTACAAAAGGTGCTGAAGCAATTCAGGAAGGGCAGAATTAGCCAACAGGAAACATTTCCAAGAAGACAGTTTGAGCTCTCTTCCTCCACCTTGGCTTCTCTCCCTGTCTTCCTGTGCTGGAGATGAAACATGTTTTCACACATGATAGATAGGATTCTTTCCAAACTACAGCTGAGAGCCCATTCTCTTTTCTCTCTGTATGTATATGAACATTTGCAGATGTATGTAGGTGTTGTACACGCACACATATGACCTTCAGTGTGAGGCTAAAGTCCACACTGGGAATGTTCCTCAACTGTTCTCCATTAAACAAAACAAAACCCCCACCTACTTTGTATTACATTTATTGTGTGCATTGTGTGCAAGTGTGCACGTGTGTACCATAGCACATGTGGAGCTCAGAGAACAACTTGTGGGAATCATTTTTCTCTTTCCACCATGTGGGTCCCAAGGAAAGTACTTGGTGGCAAGTGCCTTGGCCCCCGGGCCATCTCACTGGCCCATCCATGTTTGGATTTGGTGAAATAGGGTTTCCCACAGAATCTGTGGCTCGTGCCTGGAGCTACTTTAGCTAGCCAGCTTCCCCGGGGACCCTGCCCAGTCTCTACCTCTTGAGTGCTGATTCTAGGCACATGGGTTCCAAGGATCTGAACTCTGGCCTTCCTGCTGAGTGGCAACTGCTTTAACCACTGTGCCATCCCCCTCCCCAATTCTGTTTTCAGATCTTCATTCTCCATCCTTTCCGCCTCCCTCAGCTCTATTACCTTCCTCTGTTTTTGTTTATCTTTGTCAGATGCAAACTGCAACCAAGGAAACAGCTTGGGCTTCCATGTTAGATGGGCTGGACTCTTCTTCCAGGTGTCCTGTCCTGTCTTAGAGAAGTCAGTTCAGGTCTCTGCAAGTACCTACTGGCTGTGCAGCAAGGCCCGAGACTTGACGAGGGAGCGTCCACATTTCCCCTGGCTTTCCCAGACCGCCCTGCCCTTTCACTCTGATTGTTTTTGCTTTCCATCCGTTACTTTCTCCAGTCCAGCCTCTCCCTCTTCCCTCTTCCCACTGTCCTCTAGTCTCCATCTTTTTCTTCTCTAGATAAGTTCAATCTGTTGAGAGGCTGCCAGCCTCCACCGTGGCCTGGACGTTTCCAGCCCATCTGCCTGTGTTTATGTGGCACGGGTCACCTGCTTCTCAGCATTTTACAGAAGGCAGACAGTGAGAGGCTGAGAAATGCACAGAGTGATGTGAAACCCTATCGACTGACTGGCTGAAACAGAAGAAGCAACTGGCGTTTCTAAATTGTATCAGAGTTGATTTAATTCAGACCTGGTGAAGTCGGAAACAACAGGACAAAGAAGGAAAACAGCAGATGTAAAGGGTGTGGGTTTAGAGTCTTAAACAGGGCTAAAGATGGAGCCCAGTGGTAGGCACTGCCTAGCATGCACGAGGCCTGCGTTGATCGTCAGCACCATGGAAACCAATACACAAATATCAGTAACAAGACACTTCAGTAATTTTTTCATTTTTTTGAGACAAGATCTCAATGGGTAGCTCAGGCTGCCTTTGAACTAGGGATTCTCCTGCCTCACTCCACTGAGTGTTAGGATTACAGGCAAAGAGACACCATGGCTGGCTACTGGTTTTGCTTTCCCTGCAAGATTTCGTATTTTAGGGCTGAAGAGATGGCTCAGAGGTTAAGAGCACTGGCTGTTCTTCCAGAGGTCCTGAGTTCAATTCCTAGCAACCACATGGTGACTCACAACCATTTGTAATGAGACCTGGTAACCTCTTCTGGCCTGCAGGCATACATGCAGGCAGAACACTGTATATATAATAAATAAATAAATCTTTTAAAAAAATTCATATTTTAAATGGTCTATACTGAGTAATGTAACATGTAACGCACCTATAGAAGGCCTAATCCTCTCAAGATGTTGCTTGTCTTCCAGGCTGCATGCTGTGGAAATCACCTTGGCTCCTCTATGGTGTGCTAACTGAATGGCTATTGTGCCAAATGCCTGTGTGGAAATACATATCAATGGGTTCATAGATACAGGTGAGAGGACATACCATTTAACACATAATTCTTTAGCATTACTTTAATATGTTTTAAAAAGTTACATAAGAGAACAAAGAAATAACACACCCAAGCTTAGCAGGGCAAGCTTCCTGCAGAACCGAGGTCAGACTCTACTGTAACCGCACACGGAAGTCCAAGGGTGGAGGGCCATGTTCAGAAACATGGCGTGGAGAGGACAGTAGCCCATAAGGGCATTGTTAGTCTAAGCTAGCTGCACAGCACGGATGGGAATGTAATTACACTGCTTTCAAGATCACGGCACTTCAGAAGTACCATCTTTGGATCCACGGGTAAGAATTAGGAAAACACTACTCTCCTGATGTTGGGTGTCAGTCTACAGTCAGTGCTGAAGGCATTTCTGCACACACCCACCCCCTCCAGAACTGTGGCTTTCATCAACATCCTGTTAAAAGAAAGAACTGATTTTACCCTAAGTTTTACACCTTTTTTTAATGGATCATGTAGTGTCTTAGGGGTTTTTTGGTGACATGTAGTACACTTGACCACAGTTTAAGCTTGTATTGACCCACCTGATAAATGCCAACACCCTTCCTAGCATAAGTAAGCACTGGGGTTATAGTTTAAAACTGGTTGAGACTTCCATGAGACTCCACAGACTCATGACTCTGTGCAATAGTAATGAGTAGAAAGGCCTGGCTGGGAGAGCCTACTGGTAGGACCCTTGCCTAGCATGCACCAGACCGTGGGTTGATCGCCACCACTGAAAAAGAGAAGGGAGAAACAAAAGTCTTGCCTTGCTTTTTAACTGACTGGTGGATGTAGAGGAGTTAGAAGCTGGACACACTAAGTCCAGCTTCGACATGCTATTGATAAAAGCTGTCTATAAGGATAACATGGAGGAGAAATCTAACGACTGAGTGACACAGAAGGGTATCTGCAGACACAGCTGTCCCGCAGTTCCTATGTTTACGGCGTACTGGTATAAAAACAAAATCAGCTGGACTCACGCTTGCTCCATCCATGATGAGCACGGACTTTCCAGGAGAGAGATGAGAAAGGTAATACAGAGCTGTGCAGGCACGGACACCATCCCGAATGGCTCCGGCAGCTTCTGTCCACGAAACCTTTTCCGGTTTATGAACTATCACAACGAACAAGAAACAATTCATTAGTGAGTTCATCGGTACCAACTCTTAGATCCAGTCAGACTCATCTCTACCGCCATGGACCGCTGACCCAGCTCCAGTCTCCTCCTTTATCACTTACATTAATTTCCCTGTTTTGATTCTTATGCATGGAAGAGCTGTTCTCATAGGACTGTCAGGAGATAAAATACATCCAGAGAGCACATAAAGCACAGCTGCAGGACCGACTGTAAGATGCACAGCAAGTAGCTGCCTTCCCGGTGAGCAGCCAGTCCGGTGTCTCAGCCCTGCGCTCTACAGTGCTCACGGTTTCATGCCCTCCGCAGAGTCCAGCATGTCCGCATCCCTTTATATCAGCGCTTCTGCCTGATGCTGAACCTGTCTGTGCAGGACCGTGCATGCTGTTCTCCTTTGCTTTGTTATACTTCAGTTTTTAAAGTTCTTCTTTCCCATGTATGACGTGTGTACATGACACAGGCATGTGCAAACAGCAGAGGACATCTTCCTGAGCCCCACATTAGTATAACAGACATTTCCTTGTCCTCGTTAGGGAGGCCTGGCCCGTGTGGAAATCCTTGCTTGTTTATTCATTTTATTAGCTGATGAACACTTGTTCCCCGTGTTTGGCAGTTAAAATAACACTAAGAATGTCAGGGCATTGACTTTGGAGAGGGAAACAGTCCTGCAAAGGCACCTGCTGTGGAGATCTCTGGCCATCACTGGTACTGTCGGGGTATGTGATGGCTCTTCCTGTGACTGTCATTGGCTCTACCATGACTGCCTCTCCTCTCAGGTCCGCTGGCCTTCAGAGTCCTTTTAGGAAGTGACTGCTGAAGTCTTGGTCAAGTTTTCTACTTTGTTGTTTATTGTTTTATGGGAATTTTTAATATATTTCAGATGAGTCATCTATTTATATGCTGCATATATTACAAGCTGAGCATCCTGCAGAATGCTTGAGACAAGAAGTGTGTTGGATTTCAGAACATTTGCATATACACAGTGAGCTATTGCAGACAGGACCCAATTCCAAACATAACATTTATTTGTTTCACATATATTTTATGCATATAGCCTGAAAGCACTTTTATTCTTAAAGATGAATTTATTTCAGTTTTGTGTGTATCGCCTTCACATACGTCTGTACACTGCTTGTGTGTAGTGCCCACAGAGAGCAGAAGAGGGCGTTGGGACATGTGAAACTGGAGTTACAAACAGTTGTGAGTTACCACATGGGTGCTGGGAACCAAACCCAGGTCCTCCAAAAGAGCAGCCAGTGCTATTAACTTTGGGGCCATGTCTTTGAAAGTAATTTTATACAGTATTTTTAGTGTGCCTTCATTTTGGCTGTAACCTGTCACAGGAAACTAGGTGTGGGGTGTCTGACTTGTGGCATCATGCTGGTACTCCCAAGTTTTAGAGTTTGGAGTATTCTTTTATTTCAGACTACAGTTGTTCAACATTTTTCAACTTGATAAGTCTCCTTTTCAATCACTTTAGTGATGTCTTTAAGAAGAGCAGTGCTGGACGATATTTTAAATCCATTAGTTGGACATGGTGCTGCACTATGATCACAGTACTTGGGAAGCTGCAGCAGGGGGATTATGAGTTAACAACCAGCCTGAGCTACATAGCAAGACCCTGACTGGAAAACAAAATGGGCTGGCAAGATGGCTCAGCAGGTAAAGGCGCTCGAGGCCACTCCTGATGACCTGAATTCAGCCCCAGAGACCACACGGTGGAAGGAGAACTGACTTCTGTAAGTTATCCTCTGGCCGACACACAGGGGCCATGGTGTGCATGCACACGCGCGGACACACCCACACACTGCATGCAAAAGCAAAACCAAACAACATATAAATAATATCCTAGCACTTCTTTTCCTAAAATCCCATCAATGCCTCTCTACTGCACTTATGAAAAAAAAAAATACAAAAACTCCTAAGTTTTAAAATCTCAAAATATACCTGGGTATCATGACGTACACATTTAATCCCAGAACTTGGTAGGCAGATCTCTGTGAGTTTGAGGCCAACCTGATTTACAGAGTGAGTCCAGGCAATCCAGGGCTACATAGTGCGACCTGTCTCAAAATTAAATAATACCCCCCCCCCCCAATGGGATAATAAACTAAAAAATAAAAGCTCTGTATGATCTGTCCATTAAGCTGTTTCCTCACATTTTGACTAATTCTTGTGTTCACATAAACTGTGGTGTTGTCACCCTAAAAGCAATCCTTTCTGATTTTATCTCAAATCAGCGAATCCCACTTTTCATATGACCTGGTCACAGAGCAATCAGCAGTGCATTAACAACAGACTAATGCCACCTAGTGGGCAGACAGAGCATTCACACGATACGATGAAGATTCCCTAATGAGCTGGGAATGAAAGAAAGAACACACCAAGTACTATATAGAGTACTTCTTTATGAAACTCTTCAGGACAACCATGACTTACATATGTGCTCTCATCCTTGGTTCCTGGTCATAACTCCCACTGCCCATTTTATTTTCTAAATGACTAGAAGCGTATCTTTCATTAAAGTAGTTGGAGCTTTTGTCCTTGATTGTCTGATCGATGAAGTAGAATGTGGTCTTTAATATTGCTGGGCTATGTCAGTTCAGAAGCAAGCTTCGGAAAGCAGAGTCCCTCTGACTTCATACACTCTAATTTACTGCTGTTCTGGTCTTGGAGTTGATCTGCCTATAACACTCTGACACGCCTTGCCTGGTAGCTAGGAAGACTCCAGTCTAGTGGGGGTCCTGCCTACATCCAAAAGGAATGTGTGTGTGTGTGTGTGTGTGTGTGTGTGTGTGTGTGTGTGTGTGTGTGTGTGAGAGAGAGAGAGAGAGAGAGAGAGAGAGAGAGAGAGAGAGAGACTGTGACCTGTGCATATCTTCATTTGTGTTTATTTGTATCCTTTTCAGTAAACCAGTAAATGCATTATCTTCAGTTCTTTACAAATTTAAAATGACATCTAGTCATTTTATTTATGTGTCAGTGTTCTGCTTGCATGTTGCATATGCACTACAGACATGTCTGGTGCTCTCCGAGGTCAGGAGAGGGCATCAGATTCCCCTGGAACTGGAGTGACAGATGTATGGGTGCTGGCAATCAAACTTAGGTCTTCTGGAAGAGCAACACATACTCTTTAACCACTGAGCCATCTCTACAGCCCCAGCCTCAGCTCACTTGGCCAGTCTTAGAAATTAAATGAGCCTAGAGTGGGAACCCTAACTCTCAGAATTCCTGAAGGCCCATACTTGTGACTACATCACAAATGAAGGCAGTCTTGTGGGACTGAGCCCTCACCCTGTGACATCTATTTTTATCTCCAGGAAGACAGCACCAGAATGAAAGAGAACTAAATAGGAACAGAGGAGGCCTGGTGTGCCTTGTGTAGACCTGATGGCTGTGGGGAGAAATCCCCACACATTCTGAGGTCATTTTAGGAATGACCCATGTTGAGTACATAATAGAAGAAATGATCTCTGTATTTATTCTTCTTTCTTTCATTTTTATCTACCCAATACTATTCTTCCAATTTCACTGATTATGAAATTAGGTGTGGAATAATAATTGGTTTGCCTACGGCCTCACAGGTAATATGGTTAAATATGTGACCTAAAGTATCTCTTCTTAAGTTCATCTATACACATTTTACTTGTATGGTCTATTTGGAGGCAATATTTCCCCCTGTAACATTTCAGTCTATCATATTTTATTAAAATTTTATCCATATGACACGATCCCAACACTTGGAAAGCTGAAATAGTAAGAGAATTACAAGTCTGAGACCAGCTTTGGATACACAGTGAGTCTTGTTTAAAAAAAAAAAAAAAGGAAGGAAATTTAAAAGTACACATATATAATTCTAATCACACATGTGCACACCATTCATAGAGTTCTTCAAAAAACATTCAGGGCAATGAAACTGCATTTAAGATTCTAAAAACTTTTTTAAGATTATTTTTATAATTTAGGTATGTGTGCACACATGTCACGTGCCACAGGAGGCCGGAAGAAGGTGGCGAGAGCGTCCTTGTCCTCAGGACACAACAGCAAGTGCTCTCAGCAGCAGAACCATCGTCTTTCCAGCCCTAGACTGCAGGCAGAGGCTCTAACCGCCTGCTCGAGTCTTGCTTGTGTATTAGATGCTCAATGCTCAATGCTCATTGTGTTATAAAGACTAAACAAATAAGTAAAATATGGATCAGTGATAGCTACATCAACAGTAAAAATGAACATTATATTTCTTTTCAGTTTGGGCCCAGAAAAAAAAAGGGGGGGGGGAGACAGTTGAAAATGTATGCCAAATTTTGAATGAAAAAAATAATTATTTTTAAGTTTGTCAGAATGCCTTAAGAACTAAAGGCAGTTGGGGCTGTAGAGATGGCTCAGTGCTAAAATGCCACCAAGTCTGATGACCTGAGTTCCGTATCTGGAGCCCACGTGGTGGAAGGAGAGAAGTGACTGAGTCCTCCAAGTTGTCCTCTGACTGTCACACAGGCAGTGTGACGTGCTTGTCACCCGCTACCCCATAGACATGCACACAATAACTAAATGTTTAAAAAGGAATCAGAAGCAGGATAGCTAAACTAGCTGGAAGGATTACACAATCTGAACTGTATCACTGGTACTGTGAAACAGTATTCACATTTGGGAGGTAATTTGGAACCCCATTCTTAGGTTTGCTGAAAGAACAAAACTTACTTGAACTGAAAGTGACTGAATGCTGAGTTCTCATTAAACAGTCACCAGGCTAAGCATGAATAGAAACTCAAGTTGAATCTGAGATTTCCCAATGCAAAGTTTCATGGAGTGTACTGAAATCATCTTCTGCCCATAAAATGCTGGAGCTGCAAACAGAACACAGTTTTCCAGCTGAGTCTCCTCGTTAGTGCATGGTGAGTGTGACCAGGATTCTCACCTAAAGGTCACACTCTTGGTGGTCATTTGTTAACATTTTAAAGAATTCTTTTTATTTATATGTATGTGCCCATGCGCCTGTGTATGTGTGCCACGTGTGTGCATGCCCATGGCGGCCAGAAGAGGGTGTCAGATCCCCTACAGCTGAAGTTGCAGCAGCTGTGAGCTGCCTGACTTGGGTGCTGGGAACTGAACTCAGGTCCTCCAGAAGAGCAGCAAGTGTTCTCAACCACTGAGCCACCGCTTTAGCCCCAGTGGGGGTCATTCGTATAGGGCTTGGCCTGTTTTGGGACAAGCTCTCACTTTGTAGCCCAGGCCTTGAACTCTAGATCCTTCTGTCTCTGGCCTGAATGCTAGGATTGCAGCCATGTTCTACCACACCTGGATTAAAGGACTCCTAAGGCAACATCGAATCCTGGTTTCCTCCTCAAAGAATATCTGCAATTGTTCACTCTACATACTTTGGTACACTTGTGGACTATAATCCATCTTCCTGATTTATAAATAAACCACTAAGAGAAACATCATTCTGAACTTAAACTTTATAGCTCGGACCCAGATACTTGGACTTGCTCTTTCCCTTCTGATCTGTACCGTCATTCTTCAGTGCTGGAAGGGAGGCGGATGATGGCACAGTGGCCTGCCTGGCACACATGAGACCTCTGCATTCCATCTCCAGCACCTTAGAACAGGCAAACGGACCCTTTCAATGCTCACTGCTGCCCAGAGGGGCTTGTCTTGTTGCTGTTTTTGTTGTTTTTAAGCCATTTGGTTGTATACGTGTGCTTATGTGTATCCTAGCGTACATACCCATGCACATGCACACGTGGAGGCCAGTGTTATGTGTTGTTTTTCTCAATCACTCTCCATCCTATTTGTTGAGATGAGAGCTCTCACTGAACTTGGGTGCCCCGATTGGTTAGGCTGGCTAGCCAGCAGCCATAGGGATCCTGTTATCCCTGCCTCCCTCAGCACTGAGGTTAAGGGTGTGCACACTGCCTCTGGATTGTGTGTGGCCTCTGGAGTTCCGAGCACAGGTTCCCAGCGTCGGGCCGCCTCTGTACTGACTGAACTGCCTCCCCAGCCCCCGCTGTCACACTACTTCTGCAGTCTCTACAGCAGGCGGTGCCGCCTGGCAGGCCCAAGTGTTCTTCATCTCCCCTAACTGCTTAGGCGATGAAGTATCTGGTCAATAGTTTCAGTTAGTGTGTATGTATTTAGGAAATACTCAAAATATAATTTCTCATGAAAAATAAAGCTGAATATTGATCAAAGCCTGTTAGCAACAGAAACCAAATATAAGCTTTCTTCACTCTTGTCTGCCTGAGTTTTGACAAGTACTGTTGGGGAATAGTTTAAGGTGTTACTCTTGTTCATGTTGTATTTGTGTAACTCTGTGAAGCTGTGTTACTGTGCCTGTGTAAAATACCTGATGGTCTAATAAAGAACTGAACGGCCAATTGTAGTGGGTAGCTGTTCCAGCTTTGACCTGGAAGTACTACCCCTAGTGAGGCTTCTGGTAACTCCCACGGCTACCTATGACCTGTCCCTGAGATGGGGCTGAGATGGGAGCCCTTAAGACCAGAGATCCAGAGGTGCCGGGTCTCTTGGTTCCTCATGATCCTAGATGCTGGAGGGAAGACTGAGTCAGAGTTCTCCAGAGAACCCCACTGAACTGCACCTCACCTCTCCCGGATCCTGTAACCAACCCCTTTACTGGCTGTAAGTTACCCCCAAATAGACCTCCTTTTAACTACATGGAGTTGCCTTGGTAAATCCCCACATTAGCCAATAGTGAGGCAGGAGAAAGGCTAGAGGGGCTGCAGGCAGAGATTACAGAAGGAGAAATCTGGGAGGAGGAGGAGGAGAAGTGGCAGCCAGAGAAGGAGGAGGACTCCAGGGGTATTGGTGAAATTATTAAGGCCACTCCACGGAGTTAAAAGGAGATTTATTTAATGGCGTAACTTACAAATTAAGGGATAGGTAGGTCGCGGAGTCTGGGGAAGGTGTATCACAGTCCAGCGGTGTTCTCTGGAGCTCTGCTCGGTCCACCTCCATTATCCAGGGTCCCGCAACAGAGAGCGAGCCCGCCGATCCAGATCTCGGGTCCCCAGGCGCCTCCCTTGGCCCCGCCTTGTAGGCATGACAGTTGCTGAAGTCTCAATGGGGGTTGGAACTTCCAGATCAAAGCTGGAATGGCTACCCACTACACAGGGGCCAGTCACCCAGCTACACAGCAAGCCACAGAGTAAGAGTAAGATTTACAGAAGTAAGAGAATGAGAAAAGTCCAGAGGCAAAAGGTAGACTGGATAATTTAAGTTAAGGAAAGCTGGCTAGAGACAAGTCAAGCTAAGGCTGGGCATTCATAAGTAAGAATAAGCCTCCGTGTGTGAATTTATTTGGGAGCTGGGTGGTGGGCCCCTCAAAAGAGCAAAAACAAACAACAAAGTACTGTCTGATTTTATACATTTTTTGTTTTAGTTAATAACAAAGAGTTCAGTGGTATAGCACTTATTTAACAGGCTGGAGGCCGTAATTTCCATCTCTAGCAACACAGACACACAGACGCATTGACACAGACACACAGATACACACACACACACACACAAAACACATGCACAGACATGACACACGCACACAGACACATGCACACACTCAGATAAGCCAAGGGTAAGACATTTTCAAATTCTGATTATAAATATAATTTCAGAGCCATGAGCAATGTTAATAAACCTTGAGGGTCTACACAATGCTTAGTCTAAGCATTAATTTTATAAATAATGTAGGCTAGGAATATTCACATGGCCAGCCAACAGTTACATGACAAACCAGTGAAATAAGACTGATTAAGTTCCAAATGACTGGACTGCCACATACCCAGATAATGCTCATGTACTTGAATGACTTCACAGAGGCCAGGGTCTTCTGAATCCAAGGGCAAAATTCCTAAAAATTAAAATGAGAAGTTTAAGGGGGGAAAAACGCCCCGAAAAGAATTCACTCCTGATGAGCTATGTTCATGTAAACTCTGTACAGTAAAGTCACAGGGAAAGTTCCTGAAGTTACCAGGAAGGGAGAGAAGCAGTTGTACTTATTTTGGCATGAACACTGCAACACAATGACACCTCTGTTCTCTCTCCTTTGTTACTCCTGAGTGACGGTAAAGATGATTGGCTCTGTCATACAGCCAACCTGGAGTGTTGGGCCCCTGATGCCCCTTCCATCATTTTATTTCACAGGATGCCCTGGACACTGTCATCATAGGATGCGTGACTTCAACAGAACCCCACTTTCCTGGAGTCCAGCCAGTTTCAAGGAAACTTGAGCAATAGAGTGTTACTGATTTCTTAGGTGGAAAAATAAAAGAATAAAATCAGCAATTCATGGGGTGTGAAAGCTGAAGACACCTTCCCACATACCTAATCTTTAACAGCATTTCCCAAGGCTCAGAAGGACACTTTCTATGAGGATGAAGAAGGTTTCTGAGGGACAATGACAAAAGTGATGCTCTACACATGTTTCATGAGTGTCTGGGACACAAGCATGAACAGATGTTTGTAACATTCTTTCAATAATTAAGGATTTAAGAATAATAAACTGCTTCAGGTTAATTTTCGCTTTTAGAGGAGTAGCAGAGCTCTCTAGAATTCGGACTGGGGTGGAGAACAGAGGTTCTACATGGCCCACTCCATCAGCAATCTTCAAACCCAGGCCCCTGACTCTAGAAATTTCAGTCTGCCCAAACAGTAGGGACCACACCGGAAAGCCAAGCGTCGAGGTGAGCATGAGGTCTGGCCATTTTCTGTCTGTGTAACTTCAACAGCCAGACACAGGCAGGCTTGAAGCGTTCTGCTAACTGAGGTCAAGCTCTTGCTTTTCTTCACCAATGGATATTTGAGAGCAAATTTCAAAAGCCAGGAAAAAAAATTTTTTTTGGAATGTTAGGATTGAACCCTAGGCCTTATACATGCTATAGCCCCAGACAAAAAAAGCATTTTCATATGAAGGTCATAATGAACATCAATAATAACACAGAATAAAAGATGAGCTGACAATGAAATACATGGTTTGAAATAGGACTTGTGAACACAACTTACCAACTACTTCATCATCTGGTTGAAAGAATGATACCTTACTGCCAACTAAAGAGCAGAAAAAGGGAAGCGTTAATATCACAAAATTACTAAATTTAATTACTTTATTTAAACCTCTTTATTTTATTGTGCATGGGTGTTTTGGCCTCATGCATATCTGTGTACCTTGTGCATGCTTGGTGCCCATGGAAGCCAGAGAGGGCATTAGATTTCCTGTAATGGTGTCACAGACAGTTGTGAGCCACCATGTGGGTGCTGGGAATCAAACCCGGGTTCTCTGGAAGAGCAGCCAGTGCTCTCAACCACTGAGCCACCTCTCCAGTCCCCTAAATTTAATTTTTATTTAACTATTAAAAGCCAGACAGAGTGGGCAACACCTGTAACCCCAGCACTTAGGAGGTGGAGTCAAGAGGTTCAAGAGTTTAGGGTCATCCTTGGTTACATATTAAATTAAAGACCAGCCTGGGCTACATGAAACTCTGTCCCAAAAACAAACAAAAAGCCAATTAAAAAGTTAAAAAAATGAAATCATTCACGGGATTGTAAAAAATCCACTCAATCAAAGGGCCAAGAACTTGTGTAAGGTAGAGCACTTCAAGTCTTGTTTCTCTAGAAAACCTGAGGTACATGGGTATTGACATTGTGAGGAAATACTGTTTCTGTGCCACTGCCAATGTGGCTGACTTTCAGGAGACAGGTGCAAAGAAAAATAACACATTCTATGGCTTCGGATGGCTGTTCTCTACCCCCCACCCCTACACCTTGTGCTGGGCACATCTTCCATCATCATCTAAGTGGAAGAATCTCAGCTACACAATGAGGAATTCCAACGAGTCATGTGTTGATGGGGCAGGAGAGATGGCTCAGCAGTTAGGAGCATTTGCTGTTCTTGCAGAGGATCCGATTAGGTTCCCAGCACCCACAAGATGGCTCATACAGAGGGGACCTGATGCCCGCTCTGTCTTCTACAGGTGCACACACATCCATGCAGGCACACACTCATACATGTGTGTGTGTGTGTGTGTGTGTGTATGTATATATGTATACACACACATATATAAAATAAAAATAGGTGTTTTTGTAAATTAAAAAAAAACAACAAAAAATTACTCTGACTTGGTAAATAAATTCTGATTGGCATCCAAAAAGTTTTTGGAACTTTTAAAAATTTTATTACTGTTATCATTATTGTGTGTACGTGTGGCACACATGTGGAGGACAGAGGACAACTTTTGGGAGCTGGTTGCTTAGCAACCAGGAAATGAACTCAGGCTGTCAGGTTTGGGTAGTAAAGTGCTTTTACTGGCTGAGCATCTCTCTGGCCCAGTTCTGGGACTTGGAAATTTGGTGATATGATACTGTTTCTGTCTCCTACCCTAAATGTGTGTGTGCACATACATATTGTACACACACACACACACACACACACACACACACACACACACACACACTCCTCTGCCAAAAGTCAACTCATTTGAGTATTTTTGTGTTATAAGATGAAATGGGAAGAAAACAGTCCAATGCTGTTGACTGCCTTGTGCTCAGAATCTTCCTATAAGCTTTATAGTATACCTTATAGTATATCTTATAGTATGCCTTATAGTCCACCTCCAAGTAGTATATTTATAGTACACCTTAGAGTATACGGTGTCATTCTTCTAGTCTACAGACGAGGGAACTGAGGTAAAATGACTCCAGAACTCATCTTTTGGTACTCAGCGAGTACCTCTAAGTCCACAAGCCTGTTCTCCCTCTTGCTTGCTCTCTCTGGGGATCCCTCCTGCACCACAAGCTCCACTTCTTCTGGCTTCGGATGCACTGTGCTTTTCCTCTTGTGACCTGTTGGTTCACATCCCCTGGGGTCACCTGGCTGCTTTTGCTGGCTTCTTTCACACCGCTATCCCACTAGCCCTCGAGCACGGGTACTCCAGAGGTTCATGTCCACTGGCTGCCTGGCTCTGCAACTCTGGTTTTATGTTCTTTGTTTTTTTGAATCTACACACTCTCAAGTGGAATTATATCCTGCATGGGACTTGCACCTCCAAATCAACTCAAGCAACTGCTTACTAGATATTACTACTGAGACATCCTTTACCTTTCCTGAACTCAACTAGTGTGAGTCTGAGCTCATCACGACTACGTCGTTCTCAGTTCTCACCTCTTCTGGGTCCTCTAAGACCAATCAATGACTAACTCCTGCTGACTTCATTTCCTCATTTCTCCGCCAGTCCCTCTTCTCTGTTATCGTTCTCTAGCTTATGGACGTTGTTATCTCGTGTGTGTTGGTCTATGACCCTACCAGTCCTCTTGCCTAGGAACCGGTTTGCCTTGATCCACCCTTTAACAGCTAACCTAATCATCTCACTTGTAATGCTCACCAAGAGTCGGGCTGGCTCTGCCCAACCCTCCTGTTTGTTTCTTCCTGAAAACAAGTCTGTGTTCACACATCCTTTTGTTCACTGTCTTTTATTCTCTTCTATTGGAAGAATCCTTTTCCTTTTTTTCTGCCAGCGGTAAGGACAGAACCCATGGCCTTCAGCATGCTAGGCAAACACTTTTCCCCTGAGCTATATACTCAGCCCCAACATTATGTCCAATGTTCATAAACAAGTCCAAGTTACTTGTGTAAGTTAGCTGGACCAAAATGTACATAAACATCAGCAACTACTTGGAAGTTTTCAAAGTTTGCTTTAAATCAAGCATTTAAAAGTGAGCGGTTTATTCATCCAAAAATCAGAATTGTCATTTCTGAGGAGAAATAACCAGTGAGATTTTTTGATCACCCTAAAGTAGGTTTTTTAGTAAATAATGATTTTAACATATAGAACAGGAAAAATCTGTTTCTAGAGTTAGTCAATACTTACTAACAGGTGTTCATGATCGGTGTATGTCTGCCTTTAGTGCACACAGGAATGAATGTTAACCAACATAGGGTAGGCTGTGTTTCAGTTTCACTTGTGATTTTAATTATAATGATCTGAATGATCATTTTATCCTACTTTAATCTACCCAGACTATAGGAAAAAGTATAATTTAGCTGCCACATCACAAAAACAAAAAGGACAAAATTGGTCATTTTACTCAATATGATTACATATGAGTAAATAACTAAGTATTTACTGAAGTATTAGTTCTTCAATTATAAATTCAATCCTAGTTTTAATTTTTAAAAATGAAATTTTAATAAATTTATAGCCAGGCGTGGTGGTGCACACCTTTAATCCTAGCACTTGGGGGGCAGAGGCAGGCAGATCTCTGTGAGTTCAAGGCCAGCCTGGTCTACAGAGTGAGTTCAAGGCAGCCAGGGCTACACAGAGAAATCCTGTCTCAAAACACAACACAAATTACATTGTAAGACATTATTTTATGTATTGGTAACTTTATTAGCTATTATTAAATTTCTTTTACTATAGAAAATACAGATGATACTTACCATCTAATACAATTCCAGCAACTTCTCTTCCAACAGGGAAAAGATCTTTTTCCATCTTCATTTCTGCCAGAAGCTGAATCATGACAGAAGCTGTTAGCACATTAGTCAAGAATAAATCACTGGACTTACGTGATAGCGCAATTCTCTAGTCTCAACACATGCCTCAGCCCCAGCATGCAGGAGACAGAGGACTTACGTGATAGCGCAATTCTCTAGTCTCAACACCAGCCTCAGCCCCAGCATGCAGGAGACAGAGGCTGGTCTGAGGAACACAGTGGGTTCTCATGGCCAGCCTGGACTGCACAGAGAGATGGTGGGTCAGAAACCAAACCAAACCACAACAATAAACCAACCAACCGACCAACCAACCAACCAATAATAAAAACCATCTCTTACTTATGAGAAAGTGGGAACAACAAAAATACTCATGCCTCAGAAATAGCAAATATGATTCACTGTTGGAATCACAATCAAGCAAACAGCTTCACAAAATCCCTTTTCCAGAGTGAGAGCCGTGTTGCTGAGGTGTTTGACACGGGGCTGAGGCATGGGTGTCATCGTTCAAACCACCAGGACATGCTGAATGTTTTTCTCTGACAAGATGAGGGAAGTTACATCCCCAAACAATTCTCAGTTGGCTAAATACTGCTGCTTCCCAGTCACCTATTCAAGTAAGGTGAGGGGGTGTGGACAGAGAGAGAGTCTCACACGACAGGGTGTGGAGAGAGAGAGAGAGAGAGAGAGAGAGAGAGAGAGAGAGAGAGAGAGAGAGATCCCCACACAACAGGGGTGTGGACAGAGAGCCCCACACAACAGGGGTGTGGACAGAGAGCCCCACACAACAGGGGTGTGGACAGAGAGCCCCACACAACAGGGGTGTGGACAGAGAGAGAGCACCACACAACAGGGGGTGTGGACAGAGAGCACCACACAACAGGGGTGTGGACAGAGAGCACCACACAACAGGGGGTGTGGACAGAGAACACCACACAACAGGGGGTGTGGACAGAGAGCACCACACAACAGGGGGTGTGGCCAAGCCTCAGATTCTTTAAGGATAACCTGGGCTAGGGATGTAGCCTAGTGGGCAGGGCTTGCCTAGCATGCAGAGAGCCCTGATTTTCACCCCAGCACTGCACAAAAACAAGCCGCAACCCTAGCACTCAAGAGATGGAGGCAGGAGGGGTTAGAGCCTTTATGTTAAGGCCAGGCTGGGTACATAAGAGAGATTCTGTCTTAAGAAAACTGGACGTCACCTCGATTTTGTCCCTCAGTCTTGGATTAGGGCGCAGTGGGAAGGAGTGGCGGGTATTTGTAGGAAAACTGTCAAAAGATTTCAGATTTATTTGGTAAGTACAGGGCTTTTTTGTGTCGGGTGGTTTCCTGTCCTAAAATATTTATTTATTTGTTTGTTTGTTTGTTTATATGTGTAGGAGTGTTTTGCCCGCATGTCTGTAAAAGCACCACATGAGTGTCTGGTGCCTAAAAGGTCAGGGGATCAGGTTGGACGCCCTGAAATTGGAGTTACAGATGGCTGTAAGCTGCCATGTGGGTGCTGGGAACCAAACTCGGGTACTCTGCTGGAAGAGTAACAGATACTCTTGACTGCTGAGCTAACTCTCCAGCCTGCCATTATTTTTCAATTAAAAGTCAAACAAAAAAAGAAGCCCTCTTAGATGTATACCGACTCTCCAGAAATTTCTGGGGCTTTTATTCCTTCTCTCTCTCTCTCTCTCTCTCTCTCTCTCTCTCTCTCTCTCTCTCTCTCTCGTGTGTGTGTGTGTGTGTGTGTGTGTGTGTGTGTGTGTGTGTGTGTGTGTGTGTAGTGGTACTGGAGCCCTTTATTTTCCTTTATGCCCATTTTTAGTTACAACCATGGCTTTAGCAATTGTATTCTCCATCTTTCATTTACCATATGCAGTTTCTTACATTAATGTACTGTCTTCATAACCAGAATGATTAATGGTATCTAATAGTTCATTTTTGTTTTTGTTTTTCTTTTCTTTTTTTTTTTTTTAAAGATTTATTTATTGTGTATACAATGTTCTGCCTGCATGTATCCCTGCAGGCCAGAAGAGGGCACCAGATCTCACTACAGATGGTTGTGAGCCACCATGTGGTTGCTGGGAATTGAACTCAGGACCTCTAGAAGAGCAGTCAGTGCTCTTAACCTCTGAGCCATCTCTCCAGCCCCTGTTTTTGTTTTTCAATACAAGGTTCCTCTGTGTAACCTTGGCTAGCCTGGAACTCTCTCTGTAGACCAGGCAGGCCTCAAACTCATAGAGATCTGCTTGCTTCTGCTGGGATTAAAGGTGTGCGCCACAACCGCCTGGCTGTAATAGTTCATTCAACTGCTATTTGTCGTTTCCTCCTGTGGGTGGTGGAGTGCTTGCCTCGCATCCACAAGCCCTGGATTCAATCCCCAACACTACCCACGACCAGAAGCTGTACAGGTCCTTAAAGTTGAATAGTAACCAACTGGACAGCGTCTCTACTGGGCAGGCACACATTAGGTATCACCCAGCTTTAGCATGGACATCTAAAATGTGCGCAAAATACTCTTCTTGCCTGTATTCCTTCTTGTTGCAGACCAAATTGGCTCTCCCCACACTAACTGACATGCTTCTAACCCTGATCCCTAATGTAACTATGTGTGGGGATAGAGACTTCAAGAAAGTAACTAACATTAAATGGAGCTGTGTAGATTCCTAATCCGGCAGGACTGGGGACCTAAGGTGACAGTGACACCCGGAGCAGGCACAAACAGAGAAAAAGCCACATGAGCAAGGTCTTCTGCAAACTGTGAAGAACAGACCTGAGGCCAGCCTACTGCACACTGACTTTTCTTGGATGTTTTACCCTTCAAATCTGGGATAAAGTTTCAGTTGTTCAAGTCAAAAGACCAAACAAAACCACAATCAAACAAACAAACAGCAACAAAAGCCCAAGACAAAAACAGGAGAAAAATCCGGACCTGGAGGAACACACCTATAATCCAGTACCTGGGAGGCTGAGGCAGGAGGACCATGAATTTCAGGCCAGCCTGGGCTATATAGTGAGACCCTGTCTCACGACAAGACCTGAAAATACTTATCATGGCACGTTTAACCATTTATTTACTATTATTGACTATTTATTTACCATTTGAAGGCTTTTTGTTTTTTTTGTTTTTTTTTTTTTTTTTGGTTTTTCGAGACAGGGTTTCTCTGTGTAGCTTTGCGCCTTTTCCTGGAACTTGCTTTGGAGACCAGGCTGGCCTTGAACTCACAGAGATCCGCCTGGCTCTGCCTCCCGAGTGCTGGGATTAAAGGCGTGCGCCACCACCGCCCGGCGGCTTTTTGTTTTTTAAGACAAACTTTCCTGTGTGGCCCTGGCTGACTTGGAACCAGTTGTGTAGACCAGACCTGCCTCAAAGTCTCAGAGGCCTCTGCCTCCTGGGTGCTGGGCTTAACGGCGTGTGCCACTGTGCCTGGGTCAAAGACACTTTTTTGTTTTGGTTTTTTGAGACAGGGTTTTTCTGTGTAGCCCTGGCTATCCTGGAACTTGCTCTGTAGACCAGGCTGGTCTCGAACTCACAGAGATCCGCCTGCCTCTGCCTCCCGAGTGCTGGGATTAAAGGCATGTGCCACCATTGCCCACAAGACACATATTTTTATGGCCAATAGTAAAAGATAACTATGGGTGCTATGAGACTGGAAATATGTGTTTATGAGACACAGAAAAATGACAAGAATACAAATCATAGCTAAAAATATGTTAATTACAAATGCCTACAATTCAGTAGTTGATAACTGTTTTTAGTTTCTATTTTTATTGTATTTATAAAGGTAGTTTCTTCTTTCACCTACAGGACTTAATAATTATAAATTCTCAGACTCTTCCAAAATGAAGTTTATAAAATTTTTTCACATATTCATATAAACCACAAATTAGACCATTTACCTTAATGTAAAAATATACAAATGGGCCAGGTATAGTGGCGCATGCCTTTAATGCCAGCACTTGGGAGTCAGGGGCAGGCAGATCTCTGTGAGTTCGAGGCCAGCATGGTCTACAAGGAGAGTCCAGGGCAGTTAGGAATGCCACACAGAGAAACCCTCTCAAAAAACAAAACAAAACAAATATATATATATGAAATGCATATGAAATATTTTTCTAGTTCAGTTTTTCTTTTTTTTTTTTTTTTTTTTGGTTTTTCGAGACAGGGTTTCTCTGTGTAGCTTTGTGCCTTTCCTGGGACTCACTTGGGAGCCCAGGCTGGCCTCGAACTCACAGAGATCTGCCTGCCTCTGCCTCCCGAGTGCTGGGATTAAAGGTGTGCGCCACCACCGCCCGGCTTAGTTCAGTTTTTCTAAGGAAAATAATTTCTTGACACTCAGAAATCAATTACTACTATACATTAAATATCCTCTGAAAGTTTCACTGGCCACAATAAAAGCAACAATACCTTTGTGTTTATGGGGCTCAGAGCACAAGCTTTAACTTGGAGTCTCACAAAGTTATCGTCTGTAACAGGGAGAGTCTCCTAGAATCAAATAACAAAGCACGTGTTACACATTCTTCTGAGAACATTTGTTCAACTTGTGAAAACGTCTATAGCTAACTGAAAAATTAAACTGATACCAAATCTTATGATTATCCTAAGTTTAAAAGGTACAAATAATTACCTCATAGTATATAATGAAAAAAGAAGAAAAATTAGGAGTGTAATTTTTTTGTTTGTTTTAGTTAAAATTTACTTATTCCAGTCCCAGTAGGGATATATAGACCCTGTCTAAAAATGATAAATAAAATCAAGCAAACAAAAAACAATTAAAAAAAAAAAAGCTTTAGTTTATACACACGCACTTGCGCACATTCGCACACATATGTCCTTTTTGCAGGGAGGGCTTGGAGACAAGGTCTCATTTTGTAGTTCTGGCTGGCTTGGAACTCACTGTAGACCAAGCTGGTTTCAAACACACAGAGATTCACTTGTCTTTGCCTCCCTACTGCTGGTATTAAAGATACCCATAGCCGGGTGTGGTAGCACATGCCGTTAATCTCAGCACTTGGGAGGCAGAGGCCAGCCTGATCTATAGAGTGAGTTCCAGGACAGGCTCCAAAGCCACACACAGAAACCCTGTCTCAAAAAACCAAAAAAAAAAAAAAAAAAAAATTAGGAGTGTGATTTTAAAAAAGCTTTCATATCTTTATTTTAAAAGCGCCCGAAGACCAACATGGATGAGTATAGAAACAAACTCAGCCTCACAGAGTAGAATTACAAATACTGTATTTTAACCTAAATAATTCAAACTATCAGATCTTTAAAGTACACATACAACAAACAGCCTTTAATAAAATCTGGAATTTTCCTCATGTGATGAATGAAATTCTTCAATGTTACTTGTCCACCTATTTTCTAACATCTACTCCAGAAGCCTCAGCAAATCCCACAGTATTTTGCTGTCAAAACATTAACATAGCAGAATTTAACTACCTCTTACACTCCAGCTATATAAAGTGACAAAGGAAAAGATACTCCAAACTTATAAATATAATATCACTTCTCCCAGACACTGTCTTCTGGACCACTAACTGAAACATGTCCCCCAGTGACACACAGACAGCTCTTGCACATCCCCATGACCCATGACAGGATCACTGTGTTTTACTTGCCGCACACGACATCTGGGAGCATCTTTACTAAATCTGGGATCTGTTGTTCAGTGATACCAATGAAGACAGTAATATTGATGAATTTGTTAATTATACCTAGAGATAAGTTTTACTGAAATGCATTCAAAACCTTAGATTTTTCTCCTGACTCAGGGGTAGGGGTGATCTGTCTGAGGCGTAGGCCTTAGACTCCTGATCTAAATCACTCTGGAGTTAAGGAAAGACAAGAGAGGAAAAACATATTCTGTTCCCGATCCAGAAACAGTTATCACAGTCATTAAAAGTTTAACGAATGAGGGAAGTTTAGGAAGCGCCTAAATTTGTGTAGAAAATAAGTTTTTTTCTGTCTTTTTTATTTAAGAATACAGATAGTTTCTATCACGTGGCTACAATCTGAAAACTTGCTTTCTTACAGTATTCACAGTGAGTTTTCTTTGCTGCTGGGGATCAAACTTTTTTTTTTTTAATATTTACTTATCTATTTAATGAATGAGTACTCTATCTGCATGCAAACCTTTATGCGAGAAGAGGGCATCAGATCCCACTATAGATGGTTGTGAGCCACCATATGGTTGTTGGGAATTGAACTCAGGACCTCTGGAAGAGGAGCCAGTGCTTTTAACCGCTAAGCCATCTCTCCAGCCCTGGAGATCAAACTTATGTGTTCTATGAATGTTAGGCGGAGTGTGCCACTGGCTCCACCCTGCTCAGCGGGGTCCATCTTGTAACATGTAGGCTTGGAGCTTCTCAGCCTTCCCAGTACTTTTCACAGCACGACCAACATAGCAACTCTCTTTAACCTACTTGATTTTTAAAAAAATGATGTGTACATACAAATGAGGGTTTGTGCACATTGAGTGCAGTGCCATGGAGGCCAGAGAGGGCACTGGATCCTCTGTAGCTGGACTTGCAGGTGGTTGTGAGCTGCCTGTGGGTAGTGTGGGTACTGTGAACCGAACTTGGGTCTGTGCTCGTGTCTCATCCCCTGTAGCAGCTCTTCTAAAAGTACAGTTACACTACAGTATGAGCTACCATTTTCACATAGAGTCAAGAGAAAGTAATATGGGGGAGGCAGCTTAAGCTTTTGCTCACTTAGTTCCACTTAAAATAACTAATAACACATTTAAAGGTGAGTCTGGGGTACATGGATGGCTGTAGCAGGTAAAGGTACTTGCCCACAAGCCTGGTAACTGGAGTCTGGTTCCTGGAACTCATGTAAAGGTAAGAGAACTGATTCCAAACACTTGTCCTCTGACTTCCACATGTATGTTATGGCATGTGCATGACCCCCCCCCCCCCCCATACACACACACTTTTAAAAGTGCATCCTTACTGTAACCGTTAGGGCTAATAGTGTTAACTAGACAAAATGTAGGATCATGTGGAGACAGGGCTCCGAGTGTGCTGTGGGAAGGACCTTGACTTCATTTAAAGAAACAGGAAGCCTAACCCTCGGTAGGCGGCTCCGTTCTACGGCTGGTCCTGCACTGGGTGAGAAAGGGAGCTGGCCAGCAGTTTGCACTCACCCCTTGCTCCGGATGCAATGGGACAGGCTGCCTCCCGCTGCTGTGACTTCCCTGTTATGGTAGACTCTAACCTGGACCTGGAAGTTAAATAAGTCCTTTCTCCTCTAAGCTGCTTTTGCCTGAGCATTTTATCATAGCAACCAAAGCCAAACAAAGGCAATTATACATGGAAAGACATTATCTTGTCACATTTAATGATGAAATAATTTATTCATACCCTTTCTTGAAATAGAAATGTTATTTCTTCATTTGTGGAACTCTGTTGAAAATACAAGCCCTTCATAGTGACCTATAACAAACAAACAAATACAAGTTAAAAAAGAAAGCAGTCTTCTTAAGGGCTGGAGATAGCTCAGTGGTTAGGAGAACTTATTGCTCTTTCAGGGGACCCAGGGACCCAGGTTCAATTCCGTATGGCAGCACACAACCATTTTTAACTCCAGTCCAGGAGATCTGAGGCCTTCTTCTGGCCTCCTTGGGCACTAGGCATGTACATGGTACACAGAAATATATGCAGGCTAAACACCCATACGCATAAAGCAAAAATTTAAGCAAGTTTTAAAAATTAAAATAAGTAAATAAATAAAGTCTTTTTAAAAAATGAAAGTAAATGGGAAAAATTGTCCAGACAAGGAGAAAAAGGCAACTGTAAATGTAACCCTCAAGCAAGTTCAGCAGTTTTTCTTCCATAAAACTAACAGCAGGCCATGTTAGAAGTGCTGGCGCGTGCCTGGGATCCCAATACTATGGTGGGAGAGGCTGGATGATCCAGAGTTGAAGGCCAACGTGGGCTACACTGTCTCACAAGTAGAGGGGAGATAGAGATGGATAGCAATGGTCTAGGATGAGTACTATCACAGGTGCTTTCTGAAGGGCCAGGTTTCAGGCACAGTGGCATAGGCTGGCTCCTGCATTCAGTAGGCTGAAGGAGAACTGCAAGCTGGGCTACATACTCAGATGTTGTCTTAAAAGGACAAAAAAAAAAAGGGGGGGGGATTTCACTTTCCTATTCAATAACAAATATGATATGTATTTAAAACAGACAAACAAAGAAGTCTTACAATGGCCAGACAGGCAGGCCAAAACTGTTCAAAGGTAACTTTAAAATGCTTTCTCACATTTAAAAAGGTAAGACTGCACGGCCAAGACACTGTCTGAAACTGTGATTGCCATTCTTCTGGGGCAGCCTTGTTTTTATAAGTCTCATTGTATATTCACACTGACCCCAAACTCAGGCTCCTTCTGCCCTACTCTTCTAAAGGTTTGGATTACAGGGGTATGCCACCATGTCCAAATCCTATAAGCCTTTTTAGTTTTGATTTTTAATTCAGTTTTTAAAGATTTATTTATTTTGGGCTGGAGAGATGGCTCAGTGGTTAAGGTTCCAATATACATCTGTGGTATATATTTCTGTGTAAGGATGGACATGCATGCATTTGGAGGCTGGACACTGACACTGGGTGCTTCCCTCTTTCCATCTTACTTATATTTTTGGAGACAGGGTCTCACTATAAAGCTTTGGCTGGCTTTGAAATCAGAGATCCACTTGCTTCTGCTCCATGAGTACTGGGATCAAAGGTTTGAGCTGTCATGTCTGATCACCTTATTTTTTGAGACAGGTTCTCTCTTCAAACCTGGAGCTCACCAATTCATCTAGATTAGATGGTCAATGAGTACCCTTGTGCTGAATAGTTTCATGTCAACTTGAAACAAGCTAGTTACCAGAGAGGAGGGAACCTCAAATAAGAAATTGCTTCTGACCCACAAGTATAGCAAAGTATCATTAGGACTTGATATGCTGTGTTTTGGTTGATACTCCTGGGAGTCCTACCCTTTTTCTGAAGGGAAACAGAGGAGGAATGGATCTGGGGGGAGAGAAGAGGTGGGGGGAGGGAGAAGGGAGGGAAAACTGCAGCTAGGATGTAATATATGAGAGAATTAAAAAAAAAAAAAGGAATTGCTTCCACAACATGGGGCTGTAAGCAAGACCACATGGCATTTTCTTAATTAGTGATGGATATGGGAGGGCCCAGCCCATGGTGGGTGATGCCATCCCTGGGCTGGTAGTCCTGGGATCTATAAGAAAGCAGGCTGAGCAATCCATGGGGAGCAAGGCAGTGAGGACCACCCCTCCATGGCCTCTGCATCAGCTCCTGCCTCCAGGTTCCTGCCCTGCTTGAGTTCCTGCCCTCACTGCTTTTGATGATGATATTTTATATGGAAGTGTGAATGAAATAAACCCTCTCCTCCCCAAGTTGCTTCTGGTCATGGTGTTTCATCACAGCAGAGTAACCCTGACAACCCCACCCCCTTAGATCCTCCTGTCTCTATCGCTCTGGTG